CAGGCATCAAATTGCTGTAAAGGAAAATTTCTGACCCTATGTAATTGAAAATGATTAATCAAGTTAGAGTCTGAATACTGGAAGGAATTTATTAATTGTAAGAATAATACAACTCACATTTGAAGAGACTGTTGTCAATACTGCATGGAGTCTAAGGTACCATAAGCTCACAGTTTATCACAGCTCATTAATAATGGCAAAAGACACTGAACGTTCCTGAATAAGGAGGAAGTTTGTGACTCTCAGTCATAGTAATAACCAGAGAAGCAGCATTTTTTGGAGTTGCTCTTTACTATCAAGGCTTCGGAAATCTCAGTTCCCATAGTGTCGTAAAGAAGATCAAGTGACAGCTTCCTACACAGTGCTTGCACTCACGGAGAGGGAACTCTGAGTTTAGGGAACCCAAACCTTTCCTAATGGGAAGTACACATCCTTGCTTTTCACTTTAGAGGGAGCCTCTCTCTCTAAGAGTGTTTGCTAAACATACTGACATTCTTGAGAAGGTGGCCTGGACCCAAGGCAGCCGCTACCATAGGACGTTCACAGACGTGAGGGATCCCTACAGCACTGACTCCAAACTATTAAATCTTACTGATTGACTCCTAACATAGACTTAAAAATACACACAGAAATATGATCAAGCTTATGTAGGAACTTTGTTTGAAATACACCTTTCTTTTCCCTCCTGGTATTTGCTAGGACAGTGCCATCCATCTAGGCTCCACGGAGTCGTCTCTCACCCCCATTCAGAAACAGCTTTGCTTTTAAAAAACATTCTGATACTATCGTAAATGCTAAATAATGCTCTCTTGTTGACTGATGTATCTCACCTGAGGATGTAGTTATTTTTATTTTGGTCTTTTTGAGACAGGTTTCATTATGTGCTTCAAGCTGGTCTTGAACTCACTTGGTAGCCCATGTTGGCTTTGAACCCACAGTGAGCCTGCTGGGATTACAGACGTGCACCACCATGCCTGGCCAGGTGTAGTTCCTTTTAACACTGGACTGTCTTCTGCCTCCCTTCATCTGGTGCGTCCTCCCACTGCACGCCAGGCAGACATCTCTGTGGAGCACTGGTTCTAAAACAGCTGCAAATTAGGTCATTTCTGGTGCTGCAGCTGGGCCAAGCGGATCAGTAAGGCCACAGTAATCTTTGGCACAGGTTTTCTTCCTTTTAGTTAGGCTCCTCAAGGAGGTTTGTATAATCTTGTACCTATGAGTAATCTGGTGCCTATGCTGTTAGATGAGGTGGGCTGAGTGGTTTTCATTGAACTCACCTTGTTCTGACAGGTTCTGAAGTAGGTGGTCCCACCAAGCTAGTTTTTAATAATAACTCTTAGGAGCCATTTGAGTTAGAATGAAGACCAGTTGTGGAAACGACTTGTATACTTCTCTGTGTCCAATTTGAAGATGACTGTGTACTCCACACCCAGCTGCTAGCCCTCAGTCCAGGGGCATTACCTCAGGGGAAAACACAAGTGCAGCAGGCAGTGGAGGGGCAGAAGCCTGGCTGCGCCACAGGGGAGAGTCCCTTGTTCTTGCGAGTATGGAAAATCCCTGCAGGTGACTGAGGCATCGCTTCATCCACAGAGCTGCCAACACTACCTACTGGTTCCAGACCTGGCTCAGTGTAGATGCAGGTCTGGGGTTTCCCTTTTGTCAGAGTAGCTGAGGAACGAGAGGCAGGAAATTTTAACAGCCCTGGGCTTTGGAGTCCCATAGCCTTGGGTTTGTATGTCAGCTTTGTAATTGTGTGACCTCAGTTGCTAAATTCTGAGTTTATTTTCTCATCTGTAAAGTGAGGATAATACAATCTACCTCATAAGATTAAGGCCAGGATTAAATGAGATAAGCATACCACAGAGTGCTTTTATGATGCGTATCAATGGAAGTCTCTTCACCAAGTTGGAACTTAGATTTCCCAATGTTTGATTGAGCAATAAACTAGATGTTAGCCATTTGGGCCCATCCTCTAGTGATGAGAACCTCTGAATGAGAATAAACTGGAGTGTTAATGTCACAGCTGCCATGTGTTTTTTAACAGTACAAATATGGGAGCTGAGCTCATTCCAGTGAATCAGACCACACAAGAATGACCAGAAGGCCCAGTGGCATTCTATCTGGGAAGTTCAAAAAGAATGCCCAGCTCTGGTCCTACAGATTCTGGTGTAATTGGTCAGTACAGACTGAGATTCAGGCCTCAATTGTCTTCAAACTTCCCAAGCAATTCAAATGTTCATTCAGATCTGAGAACCATCACCCTAGCTGAGAAGGAAACTTCTTGAAAAATATGTAACATATTCCTTCAACTGGCAAACACATATTGATCTCTTTGACCAAGACCAAGCATAGGACAAGATAATAGATTAAGTCACAGCTTCAAATTTAAGATTCTTAGAAGCTGACAAAAGAGACCCACAAGCAGGTAGGTGTAACACCAGCATGGACGTGTGCTCCTAGGGGGAAAATACTGCAGATTTCGGGGAGGATCATGGAGATGTTGGGGATGTGGAGGATGTTTAGGGGAGATCTGCTCCAGCCTTCTGGAAAGAGCCTTGTGGTAGAGAAACTGCCACAGGCAGAGTCAACAGATTATGCAATACCTGAGAGAAGAAAACACAGTGTTCCAGAAACCCCAGCAAATTCAGTGAGCCTGGACATTACAGGAACAAGTGTAAAAGATAAGGCAGGAGAATCAGAATCAGGTCCTCAGACGCAAGGTATGGGTTGGGCTTTAAGCAGGTGGTGGAACAGTGAGGTCGTTCTGGCTACTGGGTGAAGAGGAGAGCAGAGAGACCAACATGGATGTGGAGAAGCCATTCCAAAGTGGGTGCAGCAACCAAGAGAAGCTTAACATGCAAGCAACTTGAGATGTGCTAGAGAAGAGCAGGCCTGATGCTGAAGAGGAGGCCAAGCTTCTAGTGGGAGCACTCGGGATCAGGAAATGCCACCCACATGAGGAAGCCAAGGAAGGCAGCACAGGTGCGTGAGGGGATCAGAGCTTTGGGGGGAAATGCTAATTCTGACTTCACCTAGTCAGGCCTAGGAGAAATCCTGAAAATCCTGTTTCTTTTTTATATGGTGCATGATATTCTAGTAGCAATTGGAGTATTTTGTTGATTTGAAACCTTGAGGATTTCTATCAGATGGGAAAAATAAGAGTTTTAAGGAAACACACACAGGCCGGGCTAAGTACAAGCATTTTGTTCATCTTGTTCTTTTCCCAGTCCAAGCACATGTTTGTGATTGCCACCTGGTCTGGAGACGTCTCAGGAGAGGACCAAGATTAAATTCTGGAAGATATTTTGGAAATGCATGGCTAGGTGTAGAAGTGCTTGGAACTTCTGCAGAGAAATTGATAAAGTCATTATGCTAACATGTTCTGCAAGGTATACACAGAAACAGAGGTGTAAGCAGCTCCATTTATTTGAGTAAATAGCTTGTAAATAAATCATTGGTAAACATTACAAAATTAAATACATTTTCAAAAGCTTGCCAGTATACATAAAATTCACAAACATAGTTCTCTTAAAAAATAAAATATGTTCAAAGCACCCTTGATATAAAATGCCTGGTCCCTGTCCTCTGACAGGGCCACCTAGAGACGTCTTAAAGTAGGTGGGGTTTCCATGAAGAGGCAGCAGGGACCTCCTGGAGGGTACAAAGAGGTTCTCCTCTCATCTTCTGCCCCAGCTGCATGCCATCTGAATTTTAATTATTCTCCAGAGAGCAGGTATGTAGCTAACAGGGCAGGACAGGTGTTTGGGCCTAGCTCCAAGCATGGAGATTAAGGTCAAAATTAGGGCCAGGCACCCCATGTGCGCCTCCTCATGAGCCAGTGAGAAAAGCTAGAAATGCAACCATGCTGCTAAACCTGCAACCCTGCAGTACCAATTGTCAGGAAAATAAGGTGATGTGTTTTCATCTCTATACTTAACACTCAGTTCATACTTCCGGTCTGATGCTACGCACGTGCAGAAGAAACCAGAATTTACTTTTAAGAAGGGAGACCCTCAATGGACTAATCTCCTCTGACCTGCTTTCATGGAGAGAAAATAATACACAGTATTTGGTTGAACACAGGCAATTTACTGCTACACAGTATCCCTTTATCCTTTGTAAAACACCACCCAGGTAGCACGGGCATTTCTCTAGAAATCAAGTTACTTCTTCAAATTAAGGGTTCACAAAACTTTAAACAACCACAAATGAGGCAAAAAGTACATGACCTGGCAAAGCATCCCAACCCATGAAACAACAGAATGCTCAGAAATTAAGCCCTTGACCAACTCAACATTTTTGTAGTGTAGCTCATTTCACTTTGGTGCAGAAAGTAAATGTTGAAGGTCAACAGCATTCACATGAAGAATGCCTCATGGCCTCTTGAAAAACCCTTGTACTGTGACCTCCCATGAAAGGATGTCCACAAGCGTATTCCAAGGATATGAAATAAAAACTCACATCTACATTTTAACTTAGTTGTGTGTAGATATATACAAGTACAAGAAGCCAGACATCTAAGTCAAATGTACAACTTAAGAAAAATTATAGGGCCAGTGAGATAGCTCAGTGGACTAAGTGCCTCCTTAGGCAAGTCAGGGACTGGGATTCAATCCCCAGCACCACATGCCGTGCCAGGCCCACCCCTGGGCACACTGAGTAGGCCACTGAGACCGGGCATGGTGGTGCATGCCTGTAATTCCAGCACTGGGGAGGCCGAGACAGGAGGATCACTATAAGTCCAAACTACATAGTGAGACCCTGTACCAAACACACTAAAAAAAAAGAAGGAAGAAGGAAGAAGGAAGAAGGAAGAAGGA